ACTTTAAATACACAATGTCCGCTCTCAACCGGGACGTTCAAGGTTGTCGAAAGAAGGCGCGATCGGGATTGAAAAGGATTTATTTTCCTGCTGTGTTGACAGGTGGACTCTGTTCTCCTACTTTATATCTTTATGATACGTTCTCACGAACATATGCTCTTGCTCATTGAGGGCATTTATTTTAGCTAATCAACAAGAAAGAATGTTCATCATTTTATCAGGAGAACACAAAGCAGGTTAATTAATAGCAGCAACGTGTTACTTTGGTTTAAGCCAAGAGGTCACGCCATTTCCATTCGACTCAAGGAAACCTGATTAGATCACTTACATTGGTGATCCAAATATCAAACTTTCAGCGATCAGTCTTCTGACAAAGTGGCACGTCCCTTGTTATCAGATACTTTGATTAAGATTCGGTGTTATTTGATCCACATAGTATATACGTGCCTTACTGAAGGTGCACTACTAAGGGGGTAGGGAGAGTCAGGAGTACGAAAACACAATTGTCCATTATTCAACAGAAAAAAGGTGAGACATAATACCTATGTAAAACGAGATACTTAAATAAATATAAACTCACATTCCGACTTTCTCACCCTCATATTAGCTCATATCCGTCTATTCTTAATATATATATATATATATATATATATATATATATATATATTCTTAATATTCATCAGGAGCTCCCATAAACTCAGAAGTTATTAGATGCACGTCTATTTAATCACGGATCACTTAATTTTACACCAAAGCTTCCCAAGGACCACCAACGCTCATCAGTTAATCGCATGCCACGGACTGGCTCTCAAGCATTCAAAAGAGACCATCAACGTTGATGATGTACATGTCTATCAATAGTCCTGAGATAGTCCCTAGAAGAATATCCACAACATTGGTTTCAGAGGTTATCAGACAGCTTGGATTGAAATTCGGTGGCGATTTCCTCGGAGTTTTACATTATTTTTCTTTTTAAATTGAAGATGCCACAGGTATTTGGAGTTTGACAACGCTTTAACCAGTAACACCTAATATGAATCGTACCCATCAAGTGAAATCAAAAGACAGAAGCAAGAAGGTTCGAAGATATATTTGGTAGGCTATCAATATATCGAGGATCGGTTGGTTTAGACTGGTTAGCGATTGAAGGGTATGTTGAGCACGGCGTTCCCACTAGTGATCTGGTGCGGATGCTTGACTGAATGCCTCCAGCTAGGTGAGTCTGTAAATTAAGACTAATGTGGTCGGCATCCACTGTCGAAGACTCACGGAGCTATTTATTTTGGGGATTCATTTACCGCTACAAAATGTTAAACATTTTAGAACAGAACTATGAACCAGCCATGTATCCCCGATAATATTTCCGTGTTGGTCCTTTTAAACCTTTTCTATTTCCAAGTAACACCAAAAGTGCAGAGTGAACCTCCCAAGTTAGTGTGTATTTCACTCAAAGTACCATTTAGTTATAAAACAGTCCTTGAAGCTCAAACACATACTGACTCAGCATGTGACGAGACTAGCCAAGAAGGACGGTGATCTTAGACCCCGTCTAATGAAGATAACCTTCCCATCTTCCCACATGGCGGCTGCAGTTCTGGAAGCATTTCGTGCTAATAGACGTCGATTGCCACCTGGAATCCACATGCACCCGGATAGGCCATACGAAGTCAGGACCAAGAACAAAGGCAAGTTGGAGCTGACCATTCCACTTGTGGACTGTCTAAACGATAAAAAAACGTGTAAAGGACAGGGCCTACCACCTCGGCAAACCTCACATAGGTGGGCTACCTGTCCATTCACATAAGGTTCATACAGAAAAACAGGACGAAGCTCACGCGTTCCAAATTGAAAGCATAAACTGCTTATATATGAACGCCGCGAGTCTACCAAACAAACTGGATGAATTACGTGAACTTAGCAACGCTAACAAGGCCCATCTGATAGGAATATCTGAAACCTGGATATCTTCTCAGTTCTCGGATCAAGAGTTAGCATTACCTGGGATGACTTTGTTCCGCAACGACAGAAAAATAGGAATTGGGGGCGGAGTAGCCATATACATAAGCTCTTGCTTGGAGGTGCACCAGGTTCACAACCTCGAGTTTAACAATCTTGAGGAATCCATATGGTGCTCTGTAAGGTTGTCTAGTACTTCCAGGTGTCTAGTCGGAGTCATTTACAGGAAGCCAACTGCCGAAATCGAGTACGATAGTCGTATGCTGGAAGGACTATCTCGCTCTACTCGTCTCGGTTTCACACACATCCTGATTCTAGAGGACTTTAATCTCCCTAGAGTCAACTTCGCGGAACACACGTACACTGGAGGCGACAACTCAACTGAAGCTCGGTTCTTCAACCTCATCGATAACTTGGGCTTATATGAAAATGTGAGGTCGGCAACTCGTTGGAGAAACAGTCAGACACCATCGCGCTTAGACTGTGTATTCACTAACGAAGAATTCCTAGTCGACAACCTCTCAATCCTGGCTCCTCTGGGAAAAAGCGATCATGCCGTCATAGCCTTCAGTTTTGTCATCAAAACTAAGCTAAGGTATCCCAACAATAATTTGCGTTGGAATTTTAAACGGTTGAATGTGCCAGCTCTACACGACTATCTACAACAGGTGGTTTGGGATGTTCACCCTCAAATCGATGTGGATGGTCATTGGGACTTCTTACTGCACACGCTCTTATGTGCTACAGACCATTCAGTTCCTCAAACGGTTCCCAAAAGCTTCAAGCCACCTACAGTAATCAAGAACCGTACCCTTCGCCTCCTAAGCCGCAAACGGCACTGTTGGGCGGAATACAAACGAACTAATAACGATGGAGCGTATAGGCAATACAAACATATCAGGAACACATGCACGAAGGCTATAAGAGAAGACAGGCTTCAGTACCAAACAAAGCTTATGGACAAATTCGCCTCTAACCCTAGAAGCCTATTCCGTTATGCAGCCTCTCTTCGTCAAGCCAAAACAGGAGTTTCTCAACTGCTAGGTCTTAACGGCCCGACCAACAACGATGGCGACGCCGCTAACCTTCTGGCGGCCCATTACTCCCAAACATTTCAACCGGCTGACATCAACTTTATTGACGACAGTTTCATCTGCAATTCCACAGGACTTTCTGAAGTGGACCTAAGCGCTGACTTGGTGTTCCGGAAACTGCAGCACTTAAGACTTGACACTTCTCCTGGCCCGGATATGGTTCATCCTGCCATACTAAGGGAGGCAGCCTCAATCCTGGCAACGCCGCTTAGCGTGATGTTTTCACACTCGCTTAGCCGAGGCAAATTACCGGAAAACTGGAAGTTGGCTCACATCACACCAATTTTCAAAGGTGGTCGACGCAATGAACCTTCAAGTTATCGGCCGGTAGCTCTTCTGTCGTTACCTTCAAAACTCATGGAGTCCCTGATATGCGACGGTTTAAATGACTATCTACTGTCCTTAAATTTCTTCTCACCCCAACAGCATGGTTTCAGGAAGGGTTACTCTTGTATAACCAACCTGCTGACTGCGGTGGACAGATGGACAAGCATCCTCGATCGCAAGGGAAAGGTTGATGTCATTTACCTTGATTTCTCAAAAGCTTTTGATAAGGTTAACCACTTGTGTCTTATCAACAAGCTCAAACGACTAGGTATCAAACCACCTCTAATCGACTGGCTTACTTCATACCTAAAAAATCGACACTTTAAGGTTAGGGTTAATTTCACTTTATCTCAAGCTATGGAATGTCCTAGTGGGGTCCCCCAGGGCTCAGTACTAGGGCCTCTTCTCTTCTTGATCTACATAAATGATCTTCCTCAACAGGTAACGTCAGACTTATTACTTTTTGCGGACGACGTGAAACTTTGGAGAGAGATACGCAACCAAGACGATATACAGGCACTTCAAGAGGATCTGACTCGACTTCAAAGTTGGGCAGACGATAACGGACTTACCTTTAACACTTCAAAGTGTAAAGTAGTCCATCTGCGACATGTCGCAAACTACAGTTACAACTTAGGAAACTCCTCTCTAGTAGTATCCCAAGTCGAAAAAGATTTAGGAGTCCTGGTGCCCCATGACTTAAAGTCTTACGCTAACTGTGACAAAAATGCCTTCCGAGCAAACCTTGCACTGGTAACGTTGAGGCGCATTTTTGGCCAGTTTGACGGAAGAACTTTCCACACAATCTTCAATAGTTTCATCCGTCCCCATTTAGAGTACGGAAACATAGTACTCCCCCCTCACTCCAAAAGGACAAGGTCACTTTGGAGCGTATCCAACGGCGAGCCACGAAATCAGTTCGAGGACTCAAATCTAAGCCTTACGAAGAACGCCTCCGTTCACTAGACCTTTACGCACTAGAATATAGGCGTCTTAGAGGTGATTTATTAATGGCTTATAGTATTCTTAACACTTCTAGACATCCTCATAAACACCTACTTAAGCTTAGTTCGAATAATAACCTAAGGGGTAACACCCAGAAACTGGAAACACAACATAGCAAGACGGAATGTAGACACAACTTCTACTCCTTAAGAGGTGTCAAAAGCTGGAACTCGCTGCCGGCCGAGCTAGTCCAAGCGACTCCTCAGGAGTCCTTCAAGAGGCAACTTGACCTATTCTTAAGGACCAAGGACAGCATCACACTATGATTTACCAATTTCTTTTCCTCTTTTATTGTTAACATACCTAGGTTCCTGCCTGGAGGATTTGGTGATCCCCTGCTACTAGACACGGAAGCCTGTTAAGCGAAAGCTTCTTCTATTCCGTCCACAACCATTTGAACCATTTGAACAATGTAATTCCACTAGCATTTGAGTTCTGCCAGTACTAAATAAGGCATATAAGCTGTCATTAACTCTTATGAACTTCAGCTTCTGTCACTGATGAACATAATCAAGTCTAATACTCACTAAAGACTGATATATTTGTTCGTCTTACTTTTGAGTTCTTTCTTTAATTGAATGCAGGAAAGCGATTGACCTTCAAGGGTCGAGTGCTCTAGGTCGGTCTCCGCATGGCTAGGGGACTAGTTGGGAATATGGTCTCTGAAGCCCTGGTGGGTCTTGACCTGGTTTTCACGAATGACGTATCTTCGCAATATTCTTCAGCTCTCTCGTCTGGGTAATATTAAACTACTTCGTTATTCAATTTCAGGTTTTCATTTCTTTGCATAGACTTGTTTCATCCAAAATCAATTGTTGAAGATCTGTCAGTTACCTCTGGTGGTCCTGATCCACGTTCTGACCTTGCCTACGAAAAAAATGGTATGAAACTACTTTCGTTTCTGTCAGACTTTAGGCAAAAGCATCACGAAGTCGTTGGTAGGTAAGGTATCGACGACGATTGATGTTGATGCTGACATAATATCCATCCGTCAATCGGGTGCTCAACTTTTAATGAAGGAACTTAGTTGGGCTGCACACCTAGGCTTGCCTGCCGTTATCGTCAGAGTTAATCGCCCAACCAGTCCTAATCTGGCCAGGTTACTAATAAATTTCATACGCGGAGAATATACCCCGATTAAGGTATTTACTGTGGTCAAGTTAACATTTTAAAAGATATGGCTAGTATTTCCAATGGTAATCAATTTCAACAGCTCTAATGAAAGTAAGTGGAATTTCAGATCATTCATCCCAATTTTATGTAAGGTTTTCATATGCACGCCTAGTTATTATAAAAATTTAAAGTTTGACGGCAATTTAGTACTACTTCAAATAATTTCACAGTTCATAGAAAAGCATCTCAACCTACGTGTTATGTACTCAACAAATAATTAAAAAAATGTTGTGATTGTTTGAATTTGAAATTTGAAAGCCAAAGGCTTTGGTCTCTGGAGCTTTCTAGATAAAAATAAAGCTTATAACTATTCCTTATACTCAGACTAGCGCGTAGCACCAAGTAATTTGGTCACTGAATGTAAGAATATACTATATTAATAAAACCTGAGGGAACTACTCAACACTACGAGTTTACATATTAAGGTTATCATAACAGCACCCAAATAAAAAAAAACAACAAATGTAATGTTAAAGTAGACAACATAAGCATAACAAAAGAAAACGTTGGAGTAATCACTATTTATATAATAAAGAGTTAATCCCTTGCTATTGCGATTGATTCTTCGCTATACCAAATAGCCGCTTGCTGTAAAGCTTGGTAGTTCGAGAATCTTTCACAAAGTAGTCTTCTTACCTAGATATTCTTAATAACTTATAGGTTGTCCGGCAGTTGTTTTTCATTTCACCAGGTATTAACTTTAAGTGGTACATTGTTGTGTTGGGCTCCATCTCGTCCTAATCATTCATAAAATAGCTTGCTACTAGTTTTCATTATCCCAGCTAATACAACTTACTTAAAGTTTTTAAAGTTTATTCATGCTGTTTATACTTCATCGTTGCGGCGAATTTATCGATTTGATTTATTCCAGTGAGCAAAGTGGAAAACAAGGAATCAACACCGGATGAATTATCATTCTGTTCACCCTGGCACTGGTGGCTAAATCTATCTACCATGACAGCTGATATCTCAGACGCTCTTGGTATTGTTCTTGAGATACCAAATGACCTACCCAATGAGTCAGTGATTTCAAGATGGTTTAGTGAGCCTGTGGTTTGTTTGTTGATTGATACACAGCTGTTCCTGACCAATTCCAAGGGCTACCCTGTACTACCAAAGAGTCATCAGTATATCATCAACCGGTTCTTCAAGGTACTTATGAGTCCCCATACGTTTCTTTTAATGGATATAATAAAACGGTTTTGTTACCTTTAGATAAACGCACTTCAGTTTCTGTTTAGTCTTCGTGTGGATTAGTACTGTGCTACCAATGTTTGATAACATTATTTATTCCTTTACACTAACTCATTTGTACCATGGCTACTGCTCCTTCTTTCAAAAACTCAATACATCTAGCGAGTTAACTAGATTCCTAAAAACTATAGAGACCGTTGGAATGATAAGTTTGCACAGTCAAGTTGATCTCTTAGGATTTCAAGAAGTTAAGTATCGACCAGTGATTCTCTAATTAGAATTTTCAAAATTAATTGACATCTCATAAACACCTGGGTTGTACACCGATTAAAACTAATTGATCTTGTCTTAAGTTGGATTATTGGTCACAAAAAGAATATTTTTTGCTTGTAAAATATATGGGTTGATGTAATCTGTTATATACAACTATACAAAAAACTAGATAGCTGTAAAATGCCGACAATAGATCGTTATTAAACCACAAAACTAAAAAGCCAATAAAAATGCAGACTGATCCCGGTAATCATCCTAATTTCCTCACCTGAAAAAACTAAAGAATTTCAAGACTTGGATGACTGTAGTGAGAACGAGATTCTCGTCCTTAAAACTTTCTATTCATGGTTACCATTGTAAGAACAAATGAATATTCGCTTAATCCATATTTCAAGTCTTTGCACTTGAGACTCATACCAGCTGGAACAATTCTTCAGTCTGAATAGATTATATACAACCATCAGTTAGTCCAGTTTAATTGTTAGCACTTTAGTTCTAGTGTATCTGGATATTTTAGAGAATTATTTCATCAACTGTCTGACATTAAATTCGTAACCACCTTATCCCATTGAAGTAGACGACTTCACAAAATTGGTTAATTCAAAGATCTTTTTTGCCTAGACCTCATATTTGTTGAACACCGTCAGGATCCCGGTGGTGTTAGACTAGTTGTTTTTTATTGGATCAGAATTAATGCTTTTACATATTGCCATCAGTAAATTGCCCTTGAGTCACTTGTTAGAAATCTAACGATCCTCACTATTCAATTGAAGTTGGTTGGTGTTCCAACACATTTATTTTCTAATATCACCAGTAGGGATGTGCTCTTATGTCTGACTTGATTAAAGTTACACATTACAAATTTCTATCGCTCACGAAAGCTAATAGCAAATAATTCTGATCAGCAGTTAAGATGGAAAGTAGAGAATTACCGCAGACCAAGAACTACCGGATGAGTAGTCAATCAATCCTTTTATACTAGAAATAATGCTGGTAATAGCACCAATAAACTACTTCTCATTTTTTTATGATCTGAAAATTGGATCTGTGAAGTCCTTCCATTAGTTGCCTCCTGAATGCCCTGGTACGGCCGAGAGTGGGGAGAGTCCGCTCTCCCTCTCGAAATACTCTCACACGGCCACGCGTATGCAGCCTCTGCCAGGGAAGTCCTACTCATTGCCTTCTCGTGGCGGGGGTGTTGTTTACGAAAATGAGAGGACGAAAAGCGAATGTCCGGCGCTTTAACCGGATTCCAAATCAATGGTGCACATGGGCTCCAGTATCCTGCGGGAACGAATGGCGTATGAACCAATCGTTGGTCACCGGCTACCATGGGACTGCATCTCCTTACGATGCTCCACTGCCTTGTGGGTTAGACCTTTAGGTCAAAGGCTCGGGGAGTGGCCCCCTAAGATAACCACTTGCTTCGGTTTGGGCACCCGGGCAGTATCACAGCCCACACACAAATGATAAACTCTTTATGTCTATGGAAATTACTTTTGTCGCTTTGAAAAACAATCAATTGATTCAAATTATGATCACTACAATTATTGTCATTATTAATACTAATATTATTATTACTACTATTATTGTCATTATTGTTATTATTATCATTATTATTATTATTTTCCACATTATTCACCCTCTTTTATACTTATACAGCGGCTCGTCTTTGGTGGAAATCCGACTGTATCTAATCGTTCTCGAGTCACTGTCCGGTTGAAAATTGTATGTTACCACCGAATACGAGGACTGAAGCAGTTTTTCTGAAACCACGTGCACCATTCAAACTGGCTGCCTTCAACGTTCGCACATTTATGCAGGTCGGACAACAGATAGGGCTGGCTATGTGTTTGGAAAGTCTTAATATCGACGTGTGTTGTCTATCCGAGACCCGTATTCAAGACTCTGGCGAAGTACTACAAATTCGATCTCCATCTGTCGCTTCGAAAAGCTTGTTTTACGTGCGCTTATCCGGGGACCCTGTGGCATCTTCGTCTGGTCTTGCTGGCGTTGGTGTCGCACTAAGCGCTAGAGCTGAGGCAGCACTAGTCGATTGGATCCCCATTAACAGTCGGTTATGTGCTGTTAGATTAGAAAGTTCCATCAAAGTGAGAAGAAATCGGCGTGAGAAAAGATGTCTTTCCGTCATCTCCGCCTATGCCCCGACAGATTGCAGCCCGGATGCAATCAAGGATGAGTTTTACCACCAGTCAACTGTTCTTCTCCAGAAAGTGCGTTCGACAGATATTGTAGTACTAGCCGGAGACTTGAATGCTCAGGTCGGGCGTCTAGGCACAGAAGAGAGTCGTTTAGGTGGCCGATGGGGACTCGTTGGTCGCAGGTCAGATAACGGGGACCGTCTACTGCAACTTTGCACAGACCACAACCTGTTTCTGGCTAGCACTAACTTTCGGCACAGTCATCGCCGATGTGCCACCTGGCGTCCTCCCTCTGCATCTCAAGCCTGGACTCAGATTGATCACATCGCGATCAGCTACCGCTGGCGTGGTTGTGTACAAGACTGCCGCTCCTTTTGGAGTACCTATCTGGACTCTGACCATGCCTTGGTCTGCGCCAATCTTGCCTTACTTTTCAGTGGACAACGAAGTGAACGCCATCAACGGATTGATGTTAGCAAGCTGGTTGCAACTTCTGTTGCAAGTAAGTATCGAACTGAGCTAGCCTCTAGGCTAGCTACCACTCCACCGAAAAGTATAGATGAGCATTGGTTGCAATTGCATGACGCCATGAAAATGGCGGGAACAGTCAGTTGTGGGTTTGCGAAACGTCCCGCTTTTAAGCACTGGGTTTCTCCAGGTTCCTTACAACTCATTGAAGCCCGTCGGTCTACTCCGGGTGACCGTGAATTTGACCACAAACGAAGGCTGTTACGTAATGAAATTGGGCAAAGTTCGCGTAAGGACCGAGAAGCCTGGTGGTCGATGCGTGCTAATGAGCTGGAAGCAGCAGCTGCATCTGGTAACTACCGGAAGCTCTTCCAACTCATCCGAGCCACTGGCAGCAAGAAGTCTGGTGTGAGTGAAACAATCTGCGAGGATGATGGGATGCCAATCACTAACATCCATCGACGTCTTGGACGATGAGCAGAATTTTTCGAAGGGCAGTTCAACTGGCCTGCTGCTCCGGCAACATCGGTCAGACTGTCCTGCCCTCCATGGCCGGTGACGACTGATCCACCAAATGAGGAGGAAGTCCGCAAGGAACTCCAACTCTTGAAGCGTTACAAATCACCTGGCCCAGATGACTTACCTCCGGCTCTTTTTAAAGATGGTGGTGACTTTTTGACTAAGGAATTGGCGATTTTGTTTACAAAGGTTTGGGAACTAGAGAGTGTACCAACGTCATGGAATGAGTCGATAGTTGTCCCTATCTTTAAAAAGGGTTCACGTCGTTCTTGTAACAACTATCGGGGGATAAGTTTACTTCCGATTGCGTCCAAGCTATTGGCTTCCGTCATTCTTCGTAGGTTGTTCAAAACCCGAGAAAGATTGACTCGCGAGGAGCAGGCTGGGTTTCGTTCTGGTCGAGAATGTATTGATCATATCTTCACCCTCCGCCAAATGTTAGAACACCGCCATACTTTTCAAAGGCCAACAATCGTAGTGTTTCTTGACATCAGGGCTGCCTTCGATTCGTTGGATAGGACTGTTCTCTGGGATTGTCTATTGAAGAAGGGTGTGCCTGAGAAGTTTATTAACATCCTAAAAGCCCTGTATAAAAACACCTCAGGCAGAGTGAGGGCATACAACCACCTATCTCCATTGTTCCATTCGAGCAGTGGGGTTAGGCAGGGTTGCCCAATCTCACCATTCCTCTTCAACTTTGCCATCGATGACATTCTGGAAACAGCTCTGATGAATGTAAGTAATGGTGGTGTGGATCTGTTGCCTGGAGAAAGACTTCTCGACCTTGAGTATGCGGACGATATTGTCTTACTGTGCGATAATGCCCAAGGCATGCAATCCGCACTTAATCAGTTGGCAATCAATGTCCGTAGGTATGGTATGTGCTTTGCACCTTCGAAGTGCAAAGTACTTCTACAAGACTGGCAGGATTCTAATCCTGTACTCACCCTGGACGGTGAGCATATAGACGTAGTTGAGAAGTTCGTGTATCTGGGTAGCTGCATAAGTGCTGGTGGGGGTGTGAGTGATGAGATCAATGCACGAATAGTGAAAGCCAGAGCGGCTTATGCCAATCTGGGCCATCTATGGCGCCTTCGTGATGTTAGTCTGGCCGTAAAAGGTCGGATCTACAACGCGTCGGTGAGAGCAGTTTTGCTCTATGCTTGTGAAACCTGGCCTCTCCGAGTTGAGGACGTTAGACGACTCTCTGTGTTCGATCATCGCTGTCTCCGAAGGATTGCTGACATTCAGTGGCAACACCATGTCAGTAATGCAGAGGTTCGGCATCGTGTGTTCGGACACAGAGATGATAACTCAATTGGTGTTACCATCTTGAAACACCGACTTCGGTGGCTTGGACATGTTCTCCGAATGTCGTCCCAGAGAATTCCACGTCGTGCATTATTTGCCGACTCTGGGACTGGTTGGACGAAGCGGAGAGGTGGTCAGTGCATGACATGGTGTCGTGGCATGAAAGAAAGCTGCAAAGGACTGGCTTGTGTTGGTCCTTCACGACTCCCTGGCTGGGGTCCGAGCGATGGTGCTACACAGTGGCTAGAGACGTTATCAGATATGGCTCAGAATAGAAGCCAGTGGCGATCCTGCTGTAACCTTCTTTTACTTTCTTTATAAAAAGTGGTTGTGTCTCCTTTACCTGAAAGATTTCTTCTGATTGTACCTCTTCGTCATTACTCTCTTTTTCTTTTGCGTTCCTTAGTTTTTTTTTGTTTTTTTTCTTTCTACTTCTCTTCGAATTCCCATTGTTTTGTGTGGCGCATATATATTGGCGCTCTCTTGTACCAATATTTATGTGTTCAAATAAATAAATAATAATAAATAATGCCTCCTAGTGAACAAGTTTAAAAACCAAAACAAAGTTGATAATCACCGCTGTCGAGATTTTATTAAATTCTCCCAGAGCTGACTGTTCATGAAAGAACTAAATTCTTCATTGTACCAACTAATTATGAAGCACATGCCTGTTAAATTTTCATGTTTTGTACTAATTCAGTCTATTTTTGAATTAATAATGTAACGGGAAAGTTTGCAAATCTCACTTTATAGCTGAATGTACAAGTTGTACTGACTGGTGCCTGTCGAAATGATAAAGGTTATACAGCCTATCAACAATATATTGCATGGCTTTGGCAATCTCAAGATGCTCCTGACTTGTATGAAGAACAATCAAAGGGATTAGAAGATCAATTACAGGTTAGTTTTATTACACAAACATGACATTAATCTACTCAAAGTTTCCTCTTAATTAATATACACAGAAAATTTAAAAGACTTAAAAAAAACTTTATTTAATGTTACGAAATGAACTACATAAACTGATAATAGATGTCACAATCCATTTGAAAGTTTATTTTACTAAATATACCCATACACTTTGTTGAAGTCCTCAACTAGGTTCGATATTTAGTTGAATAGTGCGGTGTATTCTCTCTACACTATGTTAAACCAGAAATAAGTACAACCAATAGTCAAAATTGTTTGAACACTTCACTGTTTTTTTCCACACCGGAACCGTTAACTATATATGAGAATCAGATAAAGTTGCTAAACTTCTGTCATTTGAAAACATTCAACCCATTAACCATTTGAGGTGTAGTAAATGTAATATATATTAGCTATACTTATTATCTAAAGACAGCCACCCCAAATTGTGGTAGTAAAAGTTTTCGAACATACGATTTAATTTGAAGCGGTTCATGATTGATTTAAACGAAATTCAACCATCTCCACAACCTCTTACTGGCATAATTTAGTAGCTAGAAGCTGTATATCTAAATTATTGAGTTACAGGTTTATATCGATTATATCGGCATAGAATTTGGTGCGATAGTGGTTGAATTAGAGTTAGAGTTTATAAAATCTCAAAACGATTAAGTTACACCACAACCTAAAAATGTATATATTCACTCCCTAATAGTACTAAGTCTGAAAAGAACTAAATTTCGTGAAAAGGCCTACCTCGATGTGCAATGTTTGCTGGCGTAGGCGTGGCCATATCAAGACGTTTCATCAGTTTATCAAGTCACCGAGTGTTGAATCAAACCATGTCATTAGGCACAGACCACCAGGTTGAGGTCTAGGCGACCATCACATACAATCATCAGAGACATTGGGTGACGTGAGTCAGAATTGATCGGAATAGTAAAGATGTATTTACTTTGTCTTCCCTTAGATATTGTATTTTGAAACTATTTTGCGCCTTTCATTTCACAGTTTCACTCATTGTCCTCGACTCATATCTATACCTAATCTTTTCGACCATCACTGATACTGTCACTATATGGCTCAGAATCGTTTACAATGGCGTAGGTGTATACACTTTGTCTTCAATTAAACTGTGAGATTAAAATTATTTTATACCTTTCTACGAACTAATTTTTTCTTCCTGTATTATACCCTTATATACGATCTTTTATATATTACTATCATTGGGGTAACTGAATTTGGTGTTGGTCTTGTTGTGCTAATGAGGTGTGGCAACTTGAACCGATGCATATATGTGCCTGGTCCTACGTTGTAGGTGACTGACTAACCAACTCTTCTACTGTGGTGTTTTTTTATAATTTCATTTGGTTGTACCGATATAGTGACAACTGATGCCCATTATGTGCTAGGTTTTACGTTACATATGACTAACTGACCGAAACGGCTTTTCGTGTTACGTACCACTCATTACCAGTTTCAAGTGACATCTTTTTGTCCTTTTTATGTATTTAAATACCACATTATCTTAACATTGGTTATATTTTTTGAATGTTATCGTTAGTCCTGATTCCCTGATCATTTATAACTCGGTCTACACACATCAAATTGTATATTACTAGTTTAAACACCACTCATGCCATGTTCTGTGTTTATATTTTGCCATTGTTTTCAGGAACCTTTGCAACCACTTCGTGATAACTTATCTTCTACAACATATTCAATTTTCGAAATGGATCCGTTTAAATATCAAGCGTATGAAACTGTAAGTCTTTAAGTTAGTTTGTTTTATGTGGATTATTTCCTTATTTGTTATTTATTCCACAACTATTTAATCCTATTCCTGACGCCAAACTTATGAGTGAAGCGGCGGCTTAGTGGTTGTGGCATTCAACTCTGAGCCACAGATCTGAGCTCCACCCCATCTGTTTCGGTTCGGATAGTATCATTAAACCTCACACTTAGAGTGTGGCTCGTATCCAGATACCTGGTAAATGAGTTAATCTAATGATGATACTGAGGAGTAAGCAGTCAAGAAAGCTAGTGATTAGAGATTCTTTGCCTTTTATTATTCATTAGCAAATTTTATCTTCATCCTTGAAGAATCTGATGTTTTAACTAAGATATAAAATAATACTTTCTGCTTTCAAAAAACTATTTGTGTGTAAAACATTTTAGTTAACACTAGCTGTTTAATAACCATGTGTCGGATTTAATTTGCTCACAAATGTTCTATTCGTACCCTACAATGTAATTTAGGGATTGTTCAATTAAAATTATTACAACTTGGTGTTAAAATTTCATTCGTTTAGAAAGTGCAAACATAATGAAATCAATACAGAAACTGGTAACAAGTATAGATATTTGGACGAAACGTACACAGCAGCAAAACATAGCACATTAAATGGATAAAATTCTAGTCAAGAATTACATTTATGATAATAGATCATAATGCTTCATTGATCGATTCCTAACATGTACAGTAATTTTGTCTTGGTTGTTTCATGTAGAATATGACTAATTGTTTAGTAATAAGTATAACGTCATGACTTTTCATGAATATATCCCCTTGGCATGCTCGGATGTCTGTATTTAACTTAGGGATCATGAATTAAATTTATTTCACATGACTGATTATTTAGTGATATAGACAGTACATAATATAATAACTTAGAAAAATAAAATGTGACAATTAACAACATTATATATATACTAGTCTGTGATTTGACTACAGATGAGTATGGTCTACTGTTATGGCTTCATTTTCTTTACTATTAACAAACAAAACAAATTCTCAGTATTCAGAAGTATTTTATGAAGAATCTACTTTTTTCTACGGTCTATAAATCAAGTAGGTCACGTTCTAAAGAAACTATCAATAGGTTATTGTTATGTTGAAAAAATGCTTGAATGTATTTGGTCCCGTGTGATCGGGGCATAATTATCGGAAAGTAGTTGTGTGATCTCCCTCTAGTTTGTTTATCGATTAGTTCACCCATATTATTACCAGTGGGACGGATGCCATATTTACCAACTGATACATGGACCAATAAACGATGAAGAAGACCTTAACGCCTATTGGTGCTCGGGTTCCTTCTGACCCAGCGGCCAACCAAGTGACAAAATTAGGAAGCAGATCAGTCCTTTATTGGACTCAACACATACGATAATATACTTGACACATGTAACCACAGAGCATTACAATGTGTAAATAGCTCAATGGTAAAAATATATTATACTGACAGCATTGAGTAAGGAAGTTGGAATTCAGATAACGCCTCGTAGGTATTTACGCAAAATTAAAAGCGTAATGAAAGGTAAAAATGATTTGTGTGTTAGTAGGATCTAAGTAAAATTGAGCAATATTTGGTCTCTACAGTGTTTTGAATAGATGAAAAATATCTATTATCCACCCAAACAGTGAGCACAACATGGTCCTTAAGCTAAATTACAATAAATACCTGCTCCTGATATACTACTTATTAAAACACGTAAATATTTGTACAAGGAGGCATCGAATATATATGCGCCGCACAAGACAGTGGAGCAACATTAGGAGGTGCAGTCCCATGGTAGCCGGTGACCAACAATAGGTTCGTACGTTATTTGTTTCCCCAGGATCCTGAAGCCCATGTGTACCATTAAGTTGAAATTGGTATTTTCTACCTCCCCTAGATGGATCCTCTGTACTCACCAAACCGTTTAAAGCGCCCGACATTCGCTTTTCGTCCTTTCAATTTCGTAAACAACACCCTCGGTGCAAGGATTCAGTGAGTAGGACCTCCCTGGCAGTAGTTGTATGCACGTGGTCATGTAAGAGCATTTCGAGATGAGCAAACTCTCCTCACTCTCGACCGTACCAGGGCATTCGGGGACTGTATGTGTATGTATCTGATGTGATTCAGGGCACAGTTCAAGGGTGCTTACGTAGTTAAATAATATTCTCCCATTTTAATCCTTAACTCTAAATCTTATCCTTAAATTCCTTAAGTTCATACACAAGAGTCCCAAAGCTTCATTGCATTGTAGCTGATGCTAGTCGGTGACAAAGAACCTATAGAGTTATAACCCTAACTCATAACTCCTAATATATAAACGTGACCATTTCTGCCATAATAAATAATTTAGAATGTAAGGCTTAATTAATTCTATCAAAACTATCATTCCACTGTAGTTTTTTCTTCATTGCTTATTGTCTTGTAATTAAACACTACTGATTGGCTAATAGGTCACTCTAGGTTGTCAGTTTATTATGTTATACCGATATATTACATATGGATCAAACGAAAGCATAGGAATAGAATATAGAAATACAGCAGTACAAGTTCCTACTAACCATACAATAAAATATAATTAATAATTCCTCTCATGATAGTTCTATGAGTTCTACCTTCATACTACTCGTCCCATTATGTCAGCTATTTGATATGCAATTAGTTTCTAAACAGTCAATTTTGTAAGCAACATCGAAGATGTATTTAAATAAGTTAATTAAAATTATTTGTGTCGGGAGTTGCTATCTGGGTTTGAAGAAAATGTTGTAAGGTTTTGGTGCTTCAATGGCTTTCTTCGTTCTATTTAGTTTGCCCACGTAAAAAACAACGTAGCTTTAACGAGTAAGTCCCAGGTTTGAACCCTGGTCTACTGATTTTGTTTCGATTGTCTTCGTTTTCGCAAATTAACGGTCTTCCCACGTGATATGAAAGCTGCCGAAATCCAACTATTTAAATATCTCCTAGCCTTCACCAAAGATAGTAATCAATACACGGTGTAAGACTTCAATACAGTTTACATTACTTCTCTTTATATTTAAAGTACAAGCTGTAGTGTGGTCAAATGTCTCCAAGTGTAGAGCATTAATTTATATAAACGAAAGTCGGGTGAAAATAAACACTCATCATTTTGCCTTTAGTCTAAAGAATTGTCTATCATTGTATTTCTTTCCTAATTATATTTTTCATTTGCTCTCCAGTACAGTAAAATTATAATATCGGTTTTATAAAACTCATTAGTAATGGTAATATATATGTTATAATTTAGGCAATTTACAAAGCTCTTTGCGACCGTTTATCTAAATATAATGAATCGAATACAGTTAAAGAAAAATGTCTTACCAAGCCTTCACAATCATTACAAACTAAAGAGCATTTAAACGCTTTTATCAATCATAATTCGAATATTTGTCAAGTAGTTATGGTATTGGGTGCAGGTCGTGGTCCCCTTGTCAATGCAACTATAAATGCTGCTGAAAGAGCTCAATGTAAAGTTCGGATATATGCAATTGAAAAAAATCCAAATGCATTGTGCACATTACGTGTAAGTTCCTGAATATCTGTTAATTATGATAAAGTTAATTGTATAGAGACAAGTTTCTAGTAAAAAATCTGTTGACAAGTTATCACCACAACTGTGTTTGTCTCTTTTTTAATGCATCTTTGAGTCTATCCAAGTCGTCTCACTGCATGAAAGCTGTTTATCGTATTCCGTACTTCCCTTCAGATGTGGAGGTCTTCATGATCCAGTCGACAATCAGAAGAGAAAGTTAACAGCCCTGTTTGACTCCGGTCCCCACCTGAAATGCATCTGTCAGCTGTACTCCATGCACGACTCTTCAATGTCGTCCGTCGTATGAATTCTGTATGATGTTGACTATGTCCTCAGATACACCATACTGTCGAAAAAGGTTCCATGAGGTTCTATCCACGCTGTCAAACGCCTTCTCATAGTCAAGGAAGTCGATGCATATTGATGAGTTCCATTCAATTGATCGCTCAACGATAATCCATAGTGTCGTGATTTGTTCTGTGAACGACGTATCCCTGCGGAATCCGGCCTGTTGATCTCGAAGTTGGTCATCTACTGAATCTTTCATCCGGTTAAACAACACTTGAAACTTTTCCGGGTACTGATAATGGTTTGATGCCTGTGTAGTTTTCACACTTGCTCAGATCTCCTTTCTTTATTATCTTGGTGAGGTGTCCTTCTCTCCAGTCTGTCTACACTTTTTCCTTCTCCCAATTTTTTCTGAATAAAGTGTGAAGCATGTTTGCAGTTACTTTTATATCTGACTTCAGTGCTTTAGTTAGTATGTTGTCTGATCACGCTGCCCTCCCACTTTTGTTTTGTCTGATAGCCATCCTGATTTCTTTAATCGTTGGTGGAGTGACATCTACAGGAAGGTGTGTGTGTGCTTCTTTGATGTACAGAGGGTTCATTGGGCTTATCTATTCAAGAGTTCTTCAAATTGTTCTGCCCTTCTATTCCTCTGTTCTTGAATTTCAGTGATTGTCTTGCCTTCTTTGTTCTCGACTGGTCGCTCTGGTTTACCATATTTCCCTGCTAGTTTCTTCGTTATGTCATATAGATGTTTCATATTTTCTTCTGTTCCAGCTTATTCCGCTGTCATTGCTATGTCTTCCACGTATTTCTGCTTATCGGCTCTAATGCTTCCTTTTCACTCTCTTGTTCAACCTCTCTTGAATCTTGCCAAGTGTCTCGAGGCATCGGTCTCGTGACTTTCAAAGAATCTCGGCCTTCATCATGAAGTGTCATAATTCTTTTCGACGAAGATCCCTCGAATCCCATGGCAGAGTTTAAGTTGTTTATTGTGATTAGCGATTTTTTAGCAACCCTCCTTTACTCGGGCTTAGGATCGGCAGTAACCCTGGAAGAGCTACAGGTGGAGTTACTATGATGTTGCTTACACTGAATAGTAATATGCATAACACTACATTATTAGCAATTAGTTTTCAAAACAATTGGCTCTCAACCGGAATGTCAGGTTTGAACCGCGCTTCAATGACGAATAATATATGTAACTTTTCATCTGACTAGTATGTTTGTTATGATGTTCGTTATCAAGATGTGACACTAACTTTAATTCATTGCGCTTGTAGGTTTCTGTTAAGTAAGAAAACATAAACAACATATAGAGTGGCACTATTTTTTATATTACTATTAGTTTCACTCCTTCGTTTCACATCTCCCTGTTGGAATATGTAACGTGACATTCTCAGCCGACAAATATTTGTCCCAAATTAATTTTAAGCAACGTAGGATCTGACACAAGTGTATCAATTTATATAGCTACACATGTAACACTAGTTCATCAAAATGAAAAAAAACTTATGTGTAAACAATACTACAAATAGTTATCGATTACTAAACTGTGAAAAAAATTTAGACGAAACAAACTGAAGAAAATAGAAAATAATACTTATTCTGAGAATTTTCCAAAATCACGATAAACTTATGCGTCTTTACAGCTTCAAGAATTACATTTCTAAACATTCATCAAAAAATATTTTGAGCTATATCAAATCTATGATTTTTTTGTTGTTGAGATCATGAACTGATTGATCCAGCTCACGGGATCGTGGATGCTCACTGCTGAGGAGTCTCTCAATAGGACGAAACGGCCGTCCAGGTTTCCAACGGTGATCTAACATCGCTTGGTTCATGATGTCAGTCAAAAACTTAATAATCTCCACAACCCCTATACTGAAAATCTATGATCGGTTTTCCTAATCTCATCTCTTGTTCAGTTTATATTTTCCATGTTTTTTGCCTTAAACTCAGTCTAGGATAAATCATGAATGGCAAGGATTAGATGTACAACTAATTGAAGGTGATATGCGTAATTTAAAAACACCAGAAAAAGCTGATATATTTGTCAGTGAACTACTTGGTTCATTTGGTGATAATGAATTAAGTCCAGAATGTTTAGATGGTGCACAACCAATGCTAAAAGGTAAGTATTTCTTGTGACTGTGTCAGATTAAATACTTTATTCTAAAATAATCATATGTTCTTCTTATATGCTTCTACTGTCTATTTTTTCTTGACTATGATACTTCACACGTATCTTCCTAATTAAAACAAAAATTTACGGTGAATAATACATATTTCAATAAGCTGAACAACAAAAATACCCGTAGTAAAAGCATTGATGTATTTTTGTAATTTATATAGAAATCTTGTGGCATTTCGACTTATCCACAAGCACTGATTGGTTAAGAATGGACCAATCAGTTCGTTCGTATTTTCGTTTGATCAGTACATGCAATTGTCAGGCTGTATACTGTTAACAATTCCCTGTTCAATGATTCTTCACTTGATCCCATTTCTCAACGTTTATGTAATAATACTTTAGGAATCACATTTATCCACTTTACAGCAAAGAGTACTTAATACTCATCTAAATAATTTAAGCGGATTTCGATTCATTTTACTCACTAATCATAGTTTGACTTAAATATTGATATTGTAGTCCTAAATATTTAATAGTTTCTAAATTTGCATTTTTAAACAATTGGTAAGTCGAACAAGATCGCCTTCACCGATTACTTAGTAACGAAATTACATGCAAAGCCTTTTAACAAGTATTCCTTTCTGATTTGTAATTAATTTTTAAAACGATGTCCATCATATCAAACTTTTACATGATATGGGTTTTCCTCGGAAGAGAAATTGGTATCATTTTAACACTTTAATCACTCGATTACAAACCTTTCTGCTGAATGCACTAAATAATCACGAATACACTATGTGAATGACACAGAATTATTTATTACAACAACAAAAAACAATGAAATATGATAAAAATTATTTCTCATTTTACTAGATTAGTTCATTATATACACATTTAATGCAATTTATGTTCACTCAACATTAGATCGTCGTAGGTTACCAAATTAGCTATCAATTGACAAAAGAGAATTCCTAGTTCAACTTATATGCATCAATTTATTGAGTTTAAACAATAACATCATATTGTTTAGCTTATTTATTTAACTACCATTTTCAGTTATTCTGTATGAACTAAAACAAAAATCAATCTTTAATTGTTTCTCATAGGATTTCAGAAAAAAAAAGTTTGATTGTAAACTGCTATTATTCAAGATATTTGTCTCTTTAACTGTCAGTAATATTTGATTTGATATTTTGTTTATAATTGAAAAGCCGACACCCTTATTTTTAAAACTTTCTTTTTAACAAAGTAATATATGAAACAGTTTGACTTCAATGTTACTTCTGTAGATATTAATATCCAATTATTTACTCTGCTCTCTTTTCCTTAACTATTGTCTATTTATACTTGCTAATAAATCATCTCAGAATCAGATCGATAAATAAATTAATCTGTGCAACTTAATATTATTGCTGAGTTAGTTCATAACGGCAATCATACAGTTGTTAGCCAATTTATTTCATTTCCAGTCCTCTTGCAGACTGGAGAAAATGATTTAGCTGCACAGCTTATTCTTGATAATAAAAAAAACACAGATTAGTTCTGTAAGCTGTCATTACCGTCTATGTTTATTTAGGAATAATTCAAAGTTGCAGGTAAATTATAAGATTTTTGAATAGTGAATTGATAGAAGGTAAAGCTGTTAAATATGGTAAATTAAGCCCAAACATTTTGAAAAGAACTTTCATTTCATACAGATAGAGTTCTCTATGAAAGTTTTAAGATTATATATATTCAAAAACAAATCATCATCTTGGATAACTACAGAACGGGTTGTATAATAGGTAAAGCAAATATTCAAGATCATGTCTATTAATTTATTTTGTATTTATTGACAAGATTTTGTTCTGTAACAAAAATGTTGGACCTGGTTACCTCCCTACACTGAAATATATATATATATATCGTGAGGAATTCATGAAGTTCTGAAAGAGCGGTCTTAACCGATAAAAGTTAAAAATTCAAATCAAACCAGTGGATCCAAACATAGTGGTCTTAAGTTAACCCTCTCTTGTCCAGGACCTGGAATGTAGTGTGTTCAATTCCAGGTGCAATTATGGGTAAAAACTGTCGAGAAGTCATATACAGACTAGAACAAAATAGCCATTCAGTGTTTCGTAGTTTACAATGGTTTTCTAGTTAAAATTAGTCCGTGATGCAAGCTAATGTTTCTTCAATTCTATCAGAATAACTTTCATAACATTTTGTAATTTCTAACTAACTTTTGTGTGTGTTTTGCATTTGTTAAAATTCCCTCTCCTATAAAAAGAAATAAATGTGATAATGTTCTTTTCTGATATTAACTATTGAATATTTGAATCTTATCGTTTACGTATTATGCATTCTTATTCATTTCACTTAGATGATGGAATTAGTATACCATGTTCCTACACATCATATGTTGCTCCTTTACAGTCCTTACAAATATATAATGAAACTAGACGATCTAAAGATGTGGTAAGTGGTTGGTTACTCTGATTTGTTTCCAAGTTTTTAGATATAATGAAGAGCAGTAAATATTATTGTTATTATTCTGTGTAAATTATAAATGATAATCGAAGATCCAATAAACTACACTTCAGCGTAGTTGAGATTAGCTTTGAATAAGTGAATCGCCTTCGCAACAGTCGTTCTAACGTTTTGTTTTGTGGATCCGTTTCATGTATCCTATCTCAGCAACTTTTTGTATTGAGAAAACAATGGGCATCTGTTGATTAATTGTTACGTTGTTGCTGTTGAGTTCAGTCATGGTTACGAACTATTTTGTTATGTAACGACACTACATAACCGCTTGACAATTCAATGTTTCATACTTGAACTATGTGTACAAAGGTAGTAACATATGCACAAGCGATTCACTCAACCGTAGTTCTAATATTTTTGGCTTTTTATGTGTGATAGACTAGTTGCTAATTATTGTTACATTATACAGTCATTCGTCAGTCAGTCAGTCATTCGAGTCTAATGCTAATACACAAGATTCCTAAATGCAAGCTCCAAACCATCTTATTAAGTAAAAGCAACTTTATTGACTATGATTAAATCGAGAATATATGCACATTCATGAATACACATCTTTTTTCCTTGGGGATAAGGTGGACATTAAAATGAATATGGTATTTTTTAATTAGTTACCAATTGTCATCCCACCCACATTGTTTTAATTCATTCCAGACCAGTCCCAGTGACTGGCTAATTGGTTGCTTTAAACTTGAAGAGACAAAATTACCTTGATAAATGTTTTACTTCATTACTTGTACCTTTTTCAATACTGCAGACCAATAGAGTCGGGCATTCCATGGAAACACCTTATGTTGTTCGACTTCGTAATTGTCAAATATTGAGTTCACCTCAACCAGCTTTTACATTTGAACATCCAAAAAAAGGTGAGTGAATAAGCTTATTGTTATATCTTATGTCCTGTGTCCTATTAAAGTATAACGTAATGATACCGTCAATTCAAGAACAGTAAATTATCGACCGAACCAACGACGCATAAACAAGCACGAGCAGTCTAGAGTCCTTATCGGTCGTGCTTCCTGTCTAGCCCTGCCTGTTAAGTCCAGAGCACCAATCTCAGCCTCTGCAATATAAATAATTTCAAACATACTGGGTTTATATACCAACCAAACAGACCACATCACACCATAAAATAGGAAACAACATTTGTTCAAGATTTAGCCAAAAGTGGCAGTGAATGTGGGAGATAGCAATTGATAGACTGGGTATAACTCAAGAATGGTAAATCCTATAATAATAAGTCATAGGTCAAAATAAAGCTCATAATAAGAGGGACAGAATATGTATAGTTTAGTTACTTGACAATCATACGATAAAAGTATACGTATAGTAATAGTCCAGAAATAGATCGCAACAGTTACCATTCATTATTCTCATCGGGATATAACACATATGGTTAGAAAATTTTTCATTCTTAAGTATTTATATTTCCATCGAACAATAAGACATTTCGTTTTTTTTCTAGAATCGAATCAGTCGAATGCACGTGAAGTGTGTTGCAGCTTTAACATTCAACAAGATGCCGTTGTACATGGAATTGCCGGTTATTTCGAAGCAATTCTCTATAAGGACGTAACACTCAGTAAGTTATTGAGAATTATTATGATTCATGTGTTTGAGGGAAGTTTCGCAAGAATCCACGTTGGTTTCCAGGTAAGCCACATAAGATGCATATATGCCAAGAGACTAATCAGTTTCAGCTCTTAGCACCAACAATGCGAGTATTCAAACATACAAATTAAATTTGAGAATGCTTAGAATTTCTCTATTTTTGCACAAACTGGTTTGCTTGCCGATTATTTAATAAAATAGCGTATTTTTCTTAAATGTGTATAGGTATCAAGGGTCATACTACGTGTTAACATATCACGAAGCCTCGTTCTTTTTTCTTTCTAAAACTGATTGTCACAGTAGTGCTTATTAACTAAGCATGTATTTTATATTCGACGTACATAAAAATGACTAATGATCCGCTCCTATTAGTATGTTGAGTGTTAACTCAGACTGCATGCATGTAAAATCTCAAGTGTTTTTAAGGTAATTAGATAAAACTGCTGGTGTCACCTAACAATTAAGGATCTTCCTTTTACATCTAGGTGCGTGATCGTTAGACAACAGTCAAATAAAGCATGTAAACGGCTTTTGACACTTAGCTAACATTCTTTCACTTATGTTCTTATCAACTTATTTTTCTCTCTCAAATCATTTGTTGTTGCCTTCAATTATGTTTGAGTTTTTGTACTATACTGTACTACTACCTATATAGAACAGATTTCCCAAGAAAACAAAATATTCTTATTCGTAAAGCACCTAATCGTTTTTCAGTAATTCTACACACTAAATGAAAAGTAACCTTGTGATTGCACACGGCTGAGACATCTCCGAGTAGTGATGGTTGATAATACTCCCCAACTCTTCAAACAAGAGTACGTTGTATACAGTACAACCTGCACTGGTAACCAACCATTAAGTAATTACCGCACTGAATAAGGTCTCGTCCGTTTTTTATTAGGTTATTACTTTCAGTTCACACATAGTGGAAATTGACTGGTAAACATCAGTCGCATTTAAAAATTAGCTTTCACACTAAACTCATGTTTTTCCTACGTATGCTTATCGACTTAACGAAAAGCATCTATTTGATTGCTTTACATCAATATATTGAAAAAACTATCTAGAATTTTCAAAGTACCAGACCCTGAATATGACCTGAAATTATATACAAATTTCATATAATTCTTATTTTCCAGGTACACATCCAGACCGTCATAGCCCTCAAATGGTATCTTGGTTCCCATTGGTATTCCCATTCGAGTATCCAATCCATGTTCGTTCTAAAGATAAGATCACCTTGTATCTCTGGCGTAATGTAAGTAGTCGGTATGTGTGGTATGAATGGGTACTAACAGAACCGCGACCTACAAAAATTCACAATGCAGCTGGTCATGTTTACAAAATTGCACTTTGATTATCATATGTGAAAGACTGAGCTATTACTTTTTTAAACAACTTTGTACAGACATAAAAATTGTTTGTCAATAAAACTATGTTTGCATTATATTTTAATCATAATGAAATAAACAGCTTTCGAGCAAACGTATGCTTATTGTACAAGAAACGACTGATGTCCATGTTGTTCCACACTTCTAACGAGCTTCAACGAAAATAGTTAACCCTTTCTAACATCTGAAGTGAAGTAGAGACGTTTCCAAGTTAGGAGTTGAATTTTTAGAATTCTACATTGTGAAATGATATTAATGTTCAGCGATTCTTGTCTGTTATCAATCTAAGCTTAAATGTTGCATACACTCAAGTTGAATTCCGCCATACTATACAGTAGGAATTGTTACTAGCATGCTACCATCAATAAGTAGGGCTTCACTCACCTTTAATGGATTATATATATATATATATAGAAGGAGTAAATTCTGTAAACTTGGGTTACATATTAGATTTGATAGAAATGAAATATTACAATATATATCCAAATGTCACAATAAACAAAATAGCGCAAATTACTCAACTAATCGGTACCATGTACGCTATTATTTTCAAAATTGAGAGAGCGTCCACATTTAGTAGTACTGTATGATAACAAACAATAATACAATGCACGTATGTGGAGTTCATATAAACAAAATAAAAATAAGAGCAGAACCAGTCTGGATAAGTGGCATATGTGTACATATAATCGAATTAACCGAAAACAATTTAAAGGTGAAGAATGAATTATTAAATTGGAGATTATTTTTATAATTGTTGTGATGGTAAAAAAGCAAAATACACATGGACTGCTCGCACTATAATAAGTAATATTGTATGTACATGTATGAATTAAATTGATTATTGGTCAGCTAGCTAAGCTAGAAAACATATTTACAACGTGAAAAAGAAATGTTTATTGGAGCATTTGGTTCTTCTGAGGTTGTAAAATCCTCGGATCGTTAAATTGTTAATTAGAATATTTGACAGTCGAAGTGTTTTGTATCTCACCGAAAAAGGGGTTGTCATTCACTTCAATATCCAATTTTTCGTGAGCAGGCTTTTCTGGAATAATTGTTTCTACTCCGCTACTGGTAGCAGAACTTCGTACTTCCTCAATCTCAAGGTTTATTTCCGGCTTGACATTTTGTGTTTTATCTTTATTTTGTGAATGAATACAGTTAGGATGCTTTGCTAGCCAATCAGAGTGGAATTTATGCCACTTGGAAGGCGAATAGTTTCGACAAGTCTGAAACAGGAATATTGAAATTAAATATTATTATGGGCAAACAATGATCGGTATAGAACAAACAAGTTATATTCCCAGATTAACATCATGAACCTTTTTTATGCATCATAGATTATGGTAAACAACGATAATACAACTATTTGAACAGCAACATTGCTTATGTGAATTCTAACCTCAATTATATGACTCCAGAAATTGGATGCTCAAGGCTTTAAATACTTATTTTTCATAAGGGAATATACGTCTGCATACGCATCAAAAAACCGATACAAATATTGAGTGATAGCAGCTGCTTTCAAAAAGAATAATAACATGGCATTGTTTTACTTTAACTCACTCGTCTACGATATCGAATGAAAATCCCATAGGAACCGACGGACCAATTTATTTTGTGATTACGAGTAACTCTTGAATCCAAACGCTCAGTGAAATGCATGCAATCACTTGAAAATGTATCACGGAATAACTATGGAAAAGGAAAATAATTCATACAACTGTGTAAATAAACATGACTTTTGATCTAACTAGGTAGTTCAGAATAAAGATCTATGTAATTTTTACAAACAGTAAATATAGTACGCTTTTCAAGGGATTTGTCGACTTTACCTCTTTATACAACAAGTAACAATATTCAGAATTAACTGTATACAAACTACTATGGTCAAATTAACCATTGTATATTTATTATAATTATTGATACTATGGGTTTATTTAAAATGAAGGATAAATGAACTGAGTATGATTAGTATACCATTGGATTTCATAATGCAATCATTCAACTGACACCTGAAATAAAGAACGGTTTTTTTAATCCTAACATTAACACAATCACAGTTTGCTAAGTACAATTTATCTAACTGCTATAATCTTTATGGAGATTTTCCACTTTCAAATGATTATACATATGCACACAAAACAGAATAAAGAAGTAGAATTATATCAAAATAAATTTACCTCTTTATGTGTGAGATTATTTTTGAATACTCGGATCATGAACTCCCAAACATCTCGTTCAAAATTTGATGTGTTAGGAGACTTAAAATGTTCATTTGTTTCTGATTTGTTTGCTGAGATTGGATTCTTAACACCACTCGAGACTAAGCCTTGTGATAAAATCTAAAATTTAAAAAACCAAATCAGAAGTAAAGCACTTTTAGTTGTTTCGATTATACATAAACAGTAGAATACTAACCCATCACCACAGTAAATAAATACACAGAAACCAACTTCGAGAACAGAAAGAGGTTAACAGACTTAATGATAAGTTGGTAATATTGATTAAGACTACTCCACATATTGACATTTGTTTATTGATTCGAACACATAAATATTGGTACGAAGGGGCACCGAATAGATATGCGCTGTGATACTCCCCGGGTGCCCAGACCGAAGCAGGAAATATTGACAATATAACTGTCGAAACAATATCAAATCTGTTAAGAATAACTACATAGGTGGTGGTGTTTTGTGTTCAATTTACTTGTTAATTCTCTTATTACTTAGTATTCTTCGGACGTTACTTCACTTGACAAATGCCAAATTAGGACGTGGTTGAACATGAAAGTAATTATATTCTGAATAAACAAGAGTGAATGGAAGCAAGAATCACAATAGGGTTACTGCTGGTTCAAAGCCCGGGTAAACGAGGAGGGTTAAGCATGGGATCAGCAACCCCTCACCGTAGAAAATAACCTTGCTAAAAGAACGCTAACCACGGCTTATCCAAGCATCCGCTAGCGCTGATTGGTTAGGAAGTAGCTAGTCAGCGTGTTCCAACACAGCCCTGCCCGGAAAATGCTTTAACCCAATTTATATCTCGCTAACATTTTACAACATTGTCAAGAAATTATATGCAACTAATTCGTGAAAACCTTTGAAAAAGGGATAAAGGCACTTTCAAAAACAGTTTACAAATAAGGTTGAGCAAATTATACATAGAATGGCGACAGTTAACAAACCTCTTCAGGTTGTAGATCTCCGGTATCAACAAGTAGCTGTTGTCTTCTTTGAAAAGCATCACGTGTCAAAGCATTTACGCACCTACGAACATTCCGATATAGAAATACCGGTCGAATACGAGAACAGATACTATGTGGAACATAACCAATAGTCCATGAAAGATGAGTTGTAAGATAGTCATACCAGTGCCGGATTGAAAAATTCGATTTTAAATTTTCTCTGTGAAGACGAACCTCCCCATCTACGATGCCAGGATCATCCGAAGTAACTAATAATGAATGAGGATTAAGCTTTGTGTGACCGGAATAAGGAAAACATGAATCATAACTTTTCTCCCCTTCAAGTTTTGTTGAATGCATAGGTTTCATAAGGCGGATAAGCATAGTAGATGACTCCGAGAGTACCACCATTAGAAAACAATTTGGCCAGGAATTAGTATTACTGTTGGAAGTAACATTCGTATTATTTTGACTAGTACTGGATGGAAACGTTCCAGAACTAGATCCAACGTTGCAAGATCCATTAGCACCAGCACCAGCAAAGGCGGAACAAATAGTCATAGCTTGAGAATGGTATGCACTTTCATTAGCTAACCTACACACACGAGTGTACAATGGACCACAAACGTTCCTACAGAGAAAAAGATTCAATCATCTCAATTAAAAATAAACAGCTTACTAATATGGCAATATTCAATAAGCAACTAAAAGTTGTCCGTTCAACTTTCAGTTTACAGAATGCGGTTTACAAATTCATATAGAATTTTATTTAGGTTTGGTGGCAACTAATTACGAGTTCACTCAGTATTGTGGAATATGCCTCATATATGAAGAGTAATTCGTACGTACTAGGCTCCTCGAGTCTCAACATGTCCAGTTAATCTTGAATTCATACAACACATCTGATGAGTACTTAACAATTTTAGCAACAACAAAATTAAGGTTATATGAACAGTATAACATTCACGGTACTTCAGAATCAGCTTTAATATGCATTGTCAGTAAGTAAAAACTCCCGGTTTATATCCATAAAAGTAGGTTGAAACGTTTTAGATGATCAGATGACAGAATATAAAGTTGTAATAATCTTTATTACACTCCTCCGTAAATCTATCATGTTCTGAACAAACTTGAAGCCAGAATGATCAGATGACAAATAAACCACTCTAACCTTACGAGTTATTTTGCATGCCTTTATGTATTTGTCTTTGTCAATCCTGTTAATGGTATTTTATCTTTCCATATACGTGTGCTGTTTGGTATTTATGCATCTATCTGCCCCTCTTTGTCTGCGTGGGCCATAAAAACTGAGACACAAAACTATCCAATGAGTTGGTTAGTACACAAATTTCAAAACTACGTTAGTATATTTACTTTCTCGATGTCTACCAATACGAATATCTCTGAATTATATTCTCAATAACATTTCGCATTCAGCCTTGTTGCTTTGTTCAACGTGACAAATTTAAAAACGTGTAGGTTCAATGAGAACTATATTTCATCATTGGAATCGAATCCACTTCCACAACCGACGAATCAAATGTAAACAACGGTAAAACCAAGTATCACAAATTAAATAGTCTATAATAGGTTTAACGATCAGAAAAATGAGTCCTAATAGAAAAATTAAACCCAGTAATTAAAAACCATTATTTTACATGTCTCTAACTGATTTTAGTAATCTAAATGAACAAACTGTTTGTAAGTTTCTGAATTGTAAATATTTCACCATTCTATGCCTTTCCATATTTTTAACTTCCGTGGTCAACTTACACAATT